TGGCAGGGGTCTCCACACAGCTGCTCCAGCACCCAGGACTGCATTGGGGTAGGTCCATGCAGCTTCTCCTCCGGGATGTCTTGCAGGAACTGAGCCTTGCCAGCTGAAGCAGGGGAGTGGCTAAGGCAGCTGCACCAAGGTCCAGCCATCACAAAACAAGAGACCTGAGAACTCAAAAGGTGAGACTCACTGAGCCATTTATCTCTCCGCCCTTCTATTAACCCCACGTGTGTTTATCGGCCAGGTTGGCACAATAAACTTTACCTAACTCAATAGATACTTTGAATTAGTGAATATTTTAATACTCTGGTCTACGAAGCCCATTAGGTAAATCCACTGTGTGAGTATAATAAGCACTGTTATACAACCAAAATTCCCCTGTTCCCTACTAATTTCATATACTCATTTGTATTACAACATATTTGAAAGGAAATTAAATTATAGATATTTAGGAACTTGAGAACATGCTCAAATACAATGCTAAAAAATGGTAAATGTACATACTTTACTCTGAAAGATAATTGTTTGTCTTTGAAAAGTACATTTGATTTTCCCAACTCAGATTTTCCTTTGGGGTGTATATTTGTGTGTGCATGGGTGTATGTGTGCATGTGTTGGTCCTTTTGGGTGTATATTTGTGTGTGCATGGGTGTATGTGTGCATGTGTTGGTGTTGGTAGGATTGAATGTAGAAAATAAGTCTACCTTTTCTTTTAGAAAGTCGTTCTAAACTCCTTTGAGAATGGGTTAAAAGGTGAGTGAAGAAGGGTGTGGTAGTTATATAATCTATTGTCAATTTGAGACTTACATGTGAAGTGGTGGAGTTCAGCCTGTCAATCAGGTAGCCGCTTGGTGATCTCATTTGGAGGCTCTAATGAGATTAATGGCTCACTGGAGGTGGGACACACAGTTACCCACTGCAAAACATTTCTCTTGACAAGACACATGGAGCTATGCTAGAGCTCTGGAGCCTGAGGAGCCACGTGAAGAATCCCTGCCTGTGCTGAGATGCTTACATCATCACTGGATCCACAAGACCCTCTGGCCTGTGATCTTCCTACATTCAGTGTCATTGCATGTATTTCATAAGTCTGGAGATGACTATATAGATTAGTATCAGACGTATGGGCTAATAGACTTAATGGACTTGATCTGGAATGGGCTGGGATGTTTTCTCCATATTCAATTGCTCTTGTATATAAACCACTTTTTATACACATATGAGTGTATCTATGAATTTGTTTCTCCAGTCTACCCAAACTAAGACATTATAGAACCTTGGGAATGGGATACTGGAGAAACAAATCATGGAGATGGATAGTAAATGCTCGTTCGACCTCTGCCTCCTGGTAGTTTTTCTTCTACGGCTGGCCAGAGGTCAGTATTGCCCTGCAGTTTACTGAGTTGTTTTCTGAAAAGAATATGGGGAGTTAAAGTTTTGATTATTTTCTTTGGTTGTTGTTTTTGGTTATTCCTGTTTGAAATGGTGAAAATGAATGTGATTAATGTCAGAGATCTACTCCCATATTTTGTATCAATAGAATAATTTAGATAAGGATTAAGATAAGCTAATTAAGGATTAACTTCTACTGTTTTAAGAATTGAGATTAGTACCTGATTCTATTTTGATTATACTAATTTCTTCTGCTTATTAATGTTGATATAATGATTGATAGAAATGATTACTGGGAAGTATTAAAATAGAGAGTTTATAAGCCTACTTTCGTTGAGCCATTAAAATTTGAATTTTTAAATGGGTTAAGACACACCTGCAACAAAGATAAGCCCCACCCAGTGCTTTGGAGTACTCAGGGTATTTGCATTCCAAGAGATCTGCCTAGGGGATTGTTGACAGATTGAAGGAAAAAGGCACTCTTTCAAATTTTAAAGTTGGAACTAGTGGTTTTGTCAGAGTTGGAAAAAATCTGGAACCATGAAGAAAACTCCTCTCTAGGACTGAATGTTAAAGGGGGCAGGCTGAAATGCTTGTTACGTGACCACATGGATCCACTTGTTGAGTGGAAGTAAGAGAAATGCAGCAATAAAGAGATGGGTTGGGTCTGGCCATTTAGACCCATGGACCTGGTTTAGTGGAACTAGAGGAGATGAGAGTAGATTGACTGGTCTGAAGTTCATGACCTAGCACAAGGGGGTTGTTGAGAATTTGTAATGGGGCCCATAATCTAAAGGCAAGGCAGCCAATGAGCTCCCTGGTGAGGCTAAGTGAGGCAGCCTACATTGAGTTGATCAGAACCCAACCAGATGAAGAGAAGATATTTGAGCCTGTAAACTGATGCATATTGCTACAGACTTTATGGATAGCCTGTCCTGATTTGACTTTGCTTGTGGATGTGGAATTCACAAGGTTGCAACTAGAATGAAGATTCTTCACGCCAAAGATTATGATTGTCTCCTCAGAGCACTAGGTTGATGTGACTTGACAGTATAGATATTGGATACCCAAAATGGGGAGGATAAAGGCATGAAGTCGTTGGCTTACAAACTTTCATAGATGGAGGAATGTATTCATACAATTATAGGATTAAGATGTAGTTGTTACTTAACTGCAATTGTTAGGCATAGAATAGTATTGTGTTATTCACTTATATAATATTTTTTGTTTTGTTCACTTTTGATATGTTTTGTTTAAATGAGGATAGTACATATTGAATTGTATACATTTTAGTTTTTTCCTGTTAGGTCCAGATATGATTTAATTATTGTTTGTTTGAAGATTATATATGGCTAAATAGTTTGGTGAAAGTGTCAAACTGTCAAGGGGTGGTCTGTGGTAGTTACATAATCTGTTGTTAATTTGAAACTTATGAGTGTAGGGGTAGAGTTTAGCTTATCAATCAAGTTGCAATTTGATGACCGCATTTGGAGGTGCTAAGGAGATAAAAAGCTTGCTGGAGGCAGGACACATGCTTACCCACTGCAAGACCTTTCCATTGACAAGACACATGGAGCTAAGCTAGAGCACTAAGATGCTTACATTGCCACTGAATCCGCAAGACCTTCCACCATTGGCCTGTGATCTTCCCACCTTTGGCGTCATTGCATGTGTTTTGCAAGTCTGAAGAGGACTATATAGATTTGGTATCAGACATATGGGCTAATATCGGACTTATGGACTTGATCTGGACTGGGCTGGGATTTTTTCTGAATATTCACTTTCTCTTGTATGTAAATCTCTTTCTTACACACATATGAGTGTCTATGAATTTGTTTCGCTAGTCCACCCAGAATAACACAAACCCCATCCTTTACATCACATCTTCCAGGTCACCCAAAGGGACCAGCTGGTTTTATCATGGCAGTTGATAACAGTCAAAGAGGTTTGGATGAGTTGGCTCGTTGAAAGTAAAGAGAAAGAACTTAAGTCCTATCTTCCCTGTGCAACAGCCCTTGCCAAGGCTTCTCAAGGGTGATGCTTACATGGGCCCATTTAGAGAGCCCTAGAATCCCCTCAGTTAGACTTTTAACCATGTCTTCATATCTCCTCTACATGTCTTTCATGACAGAATATCTAAAAAAAAGTGCTAAATAAAATGTTTAAAAGTCATTTTGGAGAATAAGATAGGTGAAAGGGCTGAGCCTTATCAAGGCAGGCAGAAATAGCAGCTCCATTTACAGCTTTGAAGTGCTCTCATGGAGGCTGTGTCCAAGTCTTGCCAGTGTTGGTTTACTTCCGAGATCAAGGTGGTTTCCAGTAAAAGTCACGGTATGCTGGTTCGGAAGAAGGGCAAGGTATGAAATGCTTCGGTGATTTGGGAATTTGCACACATTTTTAAGATCATATAAACCAAAGTGGACATTTCTTCTCCATGCTATTTGCTACTCATCCCTCCCACATGGGCCCCTTCAGTTTGCCTGCAGGCGAAGAGGCTGCTGAGACTCACATTCCAGCCAGTTAAGGAAATTGCTTAAGGTAAGCATCTGAAACACAAACACATTAGCTCCAAGTGCTTGAAACACAGTGATAATCACAGTCCTTACTTCTTCTCTCCTTTGTACCATTCAAAGGCCGGAGGCGGCACACCTGCACCTTCACATCTGATCAATCCACTGCGTCCAGGGGCCACGGTGCCAGATTTAATTTCCTGAATTGTAGGAGCAACTGAAAAAACAAAAAAAAGACATAAACAAACAATAAACACTGGAGGTAAGTAAAAGGAAAAAATTCTTCCGCAGAAGTATCACACACACATTATTTTAATTCCTTCTATATTCAAAGCAATCTTATGCCTGATAGGCCAATGCATCACATGTTTAGCATTTTATGCTTCTAATACAGGAGGAGTCATTTGCAGCTTCATCTTTCAAGTTGGACAATAGATGAATGTTCTCAGCTAGTGCAGAGTAAATGCAATATACTTTGGCCTCTGGGAAAAATGGTATTGGCAAGGAGAACACTTTATCTGTATGCCAGTCAAACTATGCTTCAATAATAGTTCTCATTTATTGAGTGGTTACTGGGAGTCAGGCTGAGACAGGTACGTTATGTTCATGATTTCCTTACAGTAATACTTCAAGGTAGATAGTATTATCTCAGTTTTACAAATGTGAAAACGGAATCTCCGAGAGATTAGGTAATTTGTCTAAGGTCACGCAGATTCTTAACTGCAGAATTTGGGTGTAAAGGCGTATTGACTCAAAGCCTGGGATATTTCAATATTCTACTCTTTTCACTGCCTAGTCTCTGCTGTTTTAGAACATGATACTTTCTGTTCTGTGGTGGCTTCCCCACTTCTCCAAGTTCAAGGCCCATTTATGGTGTCACTTTCTGATGCTTTTTGCTGATGTCCTAATAGCATTATAAACAACAACAACAAAAACACTTTTGAGTAGTCTATCAGACTCTCGAATACTACTTTTTGGATAGATCTGTGTGGAAGTTTTGGTGATTGGGGTGGAATTGAGTAGGTCACACGACGCATATAGAAGAATTAGTCAAAGAACATATTTTAGCCAAAAGGTGAGAGTTCAGAGATATAGTGCTCATTTTTACTTATTTGCTTATTTATTTTCTCTCTCCTCTAACTCTGTCCTTTCTGCCCTCTCTCGCCTCCCTATGACCTTCAAAGTCTGCTTCTTTTGATATGAAAACTATTTTTCTTGATTTTTTTCTTTCATAATACAGTCTTTATTGTATTTGTCTTCAGGAAATTGACTAACTTTGCTAAGCATACCTCCCAAATTTGCCCTTGTTATGAAGTGTTTGACAGTTTCCTCACTGTTTTTAGGGATATATAGTATTCCATTGTACATATGGTATAGTGAGTTTCAGTGTACTACTAACCTTAAGGTGAGGAGTTCAAAACCACCAATTGCTCAACAGGAGAATGCTGAAGCTTTCTACCCTATACAGATTGGCAGTCTCAGAAACCCATGGACAGTTAGTTCTGCCCTCTTAGGTGGCTGTGAGTTGCGGTAAGTCAATAGCAGTGAGTTTTTGAGATTTTTCAAGAGTTTAATACTGACACTATATTCTCTATCTTATGCTTTAATTACTTATGAGTATGTTAATCTTCCATGTCAGTTCCCTGAATGCAGGGTAATTATAGATTCATCCATGCATATTGTGATATCAAGGCACTGCTTGACACAAAATTATGATTACAAGTCTTTTAGTAGTCTGGTCATTTATTTATCCAACAGCTAAGTATGGAACAGACTGGTATATATCAAACAGTTCCCAAGGAAGAAACAAGTCAAACTCACTGACATATGAAACTAGCATTGTGGAGGATGGGGAGACAAAATACAAGCAGCAAATACAATATCTAAATAATTTAAATGAAAGGTTAGTAGGTGGCAAACATTATGATAAAAAAGCTTACAGAGAGGTAAGAGGGATTAGAGCAAGGAGAGGATTGAGGTTTTATATGGAGTAATCTTCATAGGCTGTAGTGTCCAGTTAGTGCTTGAGCAAGTGAGAGTCCATATATTTCTGTGAAGGTACTTTGCATATGACTAACATTCAGAATCAGTCAGTGCTAAGTAGAGATTACTTTCAGTTACATGAATAGCCCTGCCCCAATCAGTTGATGTCTGAAAGAGGATAAAAAAATTGTTGTCTTCAATTATAACAGAGAAATCCTGCCTGAATTTCCAACCTTTTCATTTCACACTTAAGAGTGGTTTCTGATCTGCTGACTTGCTCTAAAAGTTTCAAACTTGCAGTCCCCAGAATCACATGTGCGAATTCCTTAAAGGCTCTTTGTGCTTCCACCTGTGTGTGTATATAAAATAACAATTATTGCAGGCATATATGTGTATACACATGCAAACACATATACCACACACACATATATGTGGTTCACATACACGTGTGGTTATATACCATATATACTCGTGTATAAGCTGAGTTTTTCAGGAAATTTTTAATGCAGTTTTTGTGGTAAAATTAGGTGCCTAGGCTGATACTCAGGTTGGCTTATACTCGAGTACATACAGGATATACATACACATATATAAACCATGCATATATAAATTATATATGTATGTGAAACCATGCGTATATGAATTATATGTGTGTATGATATATATATCTGCTCTGATATATGAGCACACACATATACATGTATATATGTAGTTAGTTGGTTAGATATAGAGGTCAATATCCTATTGTTCTCTTCTCCTGGAGGTCCTTGACTGGTATAAGAGCACTGTAAAAAGTTCTAGTAAACCTAGCTGCATTGGCAGCTCACATCAGTTTGGCAACAATGGAAGCGTCAGTGGAAATTGACTGAGTTTGGGGATTTTGTGAAGTTGGAGTCAACAGAAAGATTGGACAGATGGAAGTGGTATATAAAATAAATAAATGAGTTAAAATAATTGAATATAGCTTAAGAAAGTAGAGAGTTACAATTACCATTGACCGATATGAAAAGACCATAAGTGGAAAGTTTTGGAGAGAAACATTAATTATATGTCTTTTATGAGTACTTTTTCTGCCAACTTTTTAATATGATACACATTTTAAATTACCCAGTGGAAACAGTTCAATACAACAGGAACCTTGAAGACGGAAATACTAGTTCACTCAGATAAATGACCTGAGTGAATGTGTCCTTTGGATATATTTTTTATTTCTATGGAAAGCAATAAAAAGTACAGGGCTTAATGTTTTTTTCAATATGCAGTGAATATAATAAATGTAAACACTCTTACAACAAAACATTGCTTTTCCTTTTTAGAATACTTTAGAAAATATGTCATTTTCTATTAAGGGTGATGATTCCATTTTAAATTTAGCACCTCCATTTCTCTGTGGACTTTTCATTCTCCCCACTAAAGGTTCAATTTATAGTTCTGGGGGAGAAAAATCACAAAGAAATATTTTTAATAAAGTACCTGTTAATAACTTGGTGAAAAAAATGTCTACCAAATAGGTTTGAATGAAAAAATGCTATGAGAATACACACACACACACACACACACACACACACTGCCACATCTTTCTTCTGCAGAGCAGCTGGTCAGTCAGACCAGAAACCTTTTGGTTAGCAGCCTAGCACTTTAACCACTGTGCTACCAGAGTACCTTCAAATATACAAAAGACAGCTATAAAGCAAAAAAATCCCCCCAAAACCCACTTTTCTTCAATGATCAGTACACCGCTTTGCCTATGAGAGGTGCAGGTACATTGCATTTTTGCTCTTGCTCCCACAGGCTTTCTTCTCTCTTCCTGTCACACTAAGGGGCTGTAATCTTTTATGATAGCCGACTATTACTGAAGATAAAATAACCATATGCAGCAAGATAGCCATCACAAACTTCTATTGATAACCTGGTTAGTTTAATTACTCTCTTGTTTGTCAAGGGGGCCATGACTCATTGCAAACAAAACCATGAAATCCGGAACATTGCCTGAAAACGCAGGCGTAATGAACTGAAATAAAAGTCTAATTTGCCACTAGAAGATTTTTATGCAGTGCAGTGAGCATAGTGCTCAGCAAGGGTAGCTTACCACCCAAGTTTAAGAGACATGGTCCCATTTTCTCCAGGTTTACAAGCTCTTGTGATGGACACTGTATGAAGAGGCAGTCCTTAAGACAAGCCAGGTGGCCATGGCTCTTCTATTCCTTCTCTTGATGGTGACTGTTGGCATCAAAATCACCCTTGAGCACACACACACAAACGCACCTACTTATCAGGTATAAGGTTTGTCAACCAGGTTAAAAGACTAGCAGCCCTTCTGTTCTAATAATCCTGTCTTCCTCCCCCTTCTCAGGAAGTCAGTACAATATGGTGTAGTAGGAGGTTTGTTAGCAGGGTTAAATAAATAAATACATTTAGATGCACATACCATGTTTTCCCGAAAGTAAGACATCCCCTGAAAATAAGACCTACCTACAGTTTTGCCTCTCATTGAAATATAAGGCATACTCCTGAAATTAAGACTTCCCTGAACATAAGGCCTCCCCAATAATAAGCTCCCCCCCTCAAGCTACTATAACTCTGGACTCTGGACCGTAGCAGCAGGCACCAACGTGCATCTCACTGTTGGCCGCAGCATAGCCAGAGCAGACAGGAAGTGTCAGTAAATGTACCATAGATTATGAGTATATGTACCATAGACTGTTGTACATGGAAATAATGGTAGTAACAAGAACTTCTTGATACTGTAGGATTCACAGTTTGTCTGGTTATGCGGGTTTGTGGTGAAAACTACTACCATACTGTATACAGATAATAAGTTTCCTTTTTTGTTGTTCAACAATAAATGTGTACCGTATTCTTCTTCTTGGAAAAATAGGATATCTCCTGAAAATAAGACCCAGCGCATCTTTGGGATCAAAAATTAATATAAGACACTGTCTTATTTGGGGGGAAACAGGCTAATATTAAGTCTCCCCCCGCCCACTGCTTTCATGTCAATTTTGCCTCATAGCAGCCCTATTTAGGATTTCTGCAGCTGTAAATCTTCAAAGGAGCAGAAAACCTCATCTTTCTCCCATGGAGTAGCTTATGGGTTGAGATCCTAGGACTTGCTTGCAGTCATCCATCCAAGCTTCCCCAAAAGTGGCACTAGGACATCTTTAGCCCACCTAAATGAGACTGCGATTTTAAACAGTGGCATAGCTTTCAGGATTGCGGCCAACTTGCAATACC